CAAGGAAGTCACCCAGCAGCAGGGCAGAGCTGCAATGGGCAGCCCTACAACATCCACAGGCAGACAAATAGGATGCAGAGGGCTCTGACTCCTCACTGAATTAAAGGCACCTACTAACACTAACTGCTGCTGCAGTGCACTTACATACAAATCTAAAACCACCTAGTTTCACACTGCTGATTTTTAGACCATGTGGGAAGGAATGCATAAAAAATTTGAGAGGCTGGGCCTGTATCAGTTGATGGGGATAGAGATCAGGATAGAGAATCTTAGCAAAAGATAACTACCATACACCTCTGAATAAAATTGTGGCTCCTTCACCTTAGGGAAGCAAGCTGGGAGAAAGCCACAGCCAGTCCTTGCCAACAGAGCATAAAGATTAGCTTCCTTCCTGTTTATTTGACCTTCATGGCCAGTGTATCCAAATATCAACAATAAGGCTACAAAACTGCAGCCTCCACCTTCTGCTATGTGCTCAGGAAGACAATTCTGCCATGGGTCACAGAGAGGCAAAACAACTCAGGACCCAGAAACCACCAGCTGGAGCGTGGCAGGCAGAGAGAGCTGTGTGCCAAACCTCCCTGGCACGGGCTGAGCACAGGCACAGCCCACAGGGGCCAGGCAGGGCAGCCCTGCAGGCTCCCCACTAACCCCCACACAGCAAATGACAAGAGGTACACATTCCATAGCCCAGTTAATCGGAAGGGCAAACAGCCCTAGCTCTGACTCGGTGCAGGGCTGGGCTGCCCACATGGTTTTCCCATGGAGAAACAACTTGGGAAGAGGCAGAGTGGGAGGCCAGCTCCCGTAATCCTTCCCCCATGGCACAGGCAGCTGCTTTGCCATCAGGAAGGGGGTTTGCTAAAGCACACAAGACAGGAAGAACACGGTGAACAGGACACCCTCCACAGGCTCCACTCAGACACAAGTTTTGTTGTGTCCAGGTAAGTTTCATCCCAGAGGACTGCTAGCTTCAGCACACTTAGGACTAACAGAGAGAAGGGCATGCACATCTTCAGAGGTCCACCCAGGCTTGCAAAACACAGCTGGAAGCTCATAATGGATCCCTGCCCTGGAACCTTCGTGCTTGCAAATGAAGCATCCCAATATCCAAAGACGAAATTCCAGTGGGTAGGGGTGGAGGGCTAAAGGGAGAGCAGCAGCTTGGGATTCCTCAGCACTGAAACTCCTGCTGTAGCCTAAGCAATGCAGAGATTCCCCACTTCAGCAGTGGATCACAGCAGACAGAAATTACAACTGTAGTTGAAGCCTATCTGTTCAATAGAAACAGAAATCTTATTTTATGTGATCCAGTTCGCTCATTTAGAGGCAGAATCCATCAGCTGAAACAGCAGATTCTCACAGGTAGCATTTCTCTCTTTTGAGAACAACATACTAATTTTTAATACCACATTCAGGCAATCTCCGAATACCAGAGTGCAAACAGGGTGCTTTTGCCTCTGGATATTGTTATCTAGAGTCTAGTTCTCTGAGCATTGGGGAAAAGGGAAAAAGCAACAGTAATCAGAACCAAAGGAATGAGGCAGGCATTCCCTACCCCCATCAAACCAGCTCCCAGGGGCAGCTGAGGCAGCCTCTTCTTTTAAGACCTTTTTGGGGTTTTCTTTCTACTGTCCCCATTCCTAAGCATCCTCCCCCAACCATAACCCATAAAAACTGTAAGACACAGTCATGGGGCCCCTGTCAGAAACGACTGATGAAGCTGGGCTGTTAATGTGGTGGTCCATGGACAGAATGAAGTCCCCAACTAATGGAAGCTACTCCCACCCCCTTCAGGACAGCCACCCCCAGCGGCTCTGAGCTGTTTCTCACTTCAAAGTAAGAAGAAAAATTGAGAAGAAGAAATTGGAAGAAAAATTGAGATGCAAAGGAGAAGGAAACGGCTTTGCTAGGGTGCAGACGGTGATGCACAAAGCCTTTGGTGCAAGGCTATTTCCCAAGTGTGGAAGTCAAAGGGCAGCACTGACCCTGCCTGCTCCAAGCACACACTCCCTCCCTCCAGCAGGACATGGAATGTGGGGCACTAACCGGCATCCTGCTCAGAAACAAAACAAGGGCAAAAAAGAGCCATGCCAAAGACTGAACACTTCACAGTTCATCAAGAGTTTTATGGAGCTGACCTACTGCATCTGTCAGAAAGGCAGCAGATGGATGTGCGATGGCACGTGGACCACACCCTCAGGACACAGATTCTGTGGGGACAGAAAAACTGCACCCATGGGCAAAGGTGACACTAAGCCCCAGCTGCTCAGAGGAAGACATTTCCAAGAAGACACACAGGGAGGAAAAGAAGTTTGGGAATCCAGTGTCATTTTCAGTTTCGGCTTTTATTTTCACTCACTTCAACAACAAGGTGTTCCAGGCAACACTGTCATTGCTACAAGCACTGGCAGATACTCAGCTCAGTTAACACTTCGACGCCTCAAAACAAAACAAAATCACAGCTCTACATAGGGGAGGGCAAAAGCTACAGCAGTTCAAACTCACTTGAAGATTCCCGTTATACAGAAGTGGCTACCATAGTTGCATACAGTAGAAAGGAGGTTTTCACAGCATATATTTTAATCATCAGTGATGCAGCAGAAAAGCTCCATCTGGCTGCCGAGTTGAGAAGCAGATACTGAAGTTCTTGCACCCAGACTCTGGGCACAGCATTAATTGAATTAACCTTAATAGTCCAAAGCCCCCTAGATCCTAAAAATGACGGTGTCTTTTGCATTAATGTATGTACAGTACTGAAGCAGCTCAGGAGGACTACACAATGGAGATGCAAAACCTCGGAGGTGAGAAGGGCACAGCCTAATTCACCTCCAGGGATTTGTAAAGTATCTGCACTAACCCTTTGCTCACACCAATACTGCCCTGCTGAATTAATCATTGCATCAAGTCAAGAGCAGAATGACTCTCTTCTTTTTTACTATATAGAAAAAAAAAAAAAGAGATATAGTAAGTTCTCACACTGAGCATGTTAAATACTTTGAAATCTAGGACACTGCTCTTTGAAGTGTTACAAAATAAAATGATACAACAGGCTTCCAGTACGTGCCCCCCTCCCCCTCAACTGCAAAATAACACAGTAATCTCAGTATGAAAAATACAAATATATTCATCCAATGACTAGTTGTTTGTTACACGATTTGTAACCACTAGCCTTCTGCATAAAAATAATAATTAAAAAACAGAAAAACAAACAACATTTTATTGTGGTTCGGTCCCAGTAGCCCAAGAAGAAATAAAAATTGTCATGTTATGCTGTAGGAAAACAAACAATTCTATGTACAAAATATTTATATACAGACTTCGACAGTGGCATCACCATTTACAGGTAACCAAAACAGGCTTGCACAGCTACCAAAAGGCAGTCTTTGAATGCAACACAGACCTGGCACAACAGACAGATGGAGGATGCTAACCATACTGGAGTTAAATGAAATGCATGGCACAGAGCAGGGCCCACAAACAGCCACTGTACTGTGACCAGTATATTCAGCTGTAGCAAGGTAGAATAAAAAGTTATTTAAGTTGCTTTTTTCAGTCTTTTGCCAGTTAAAAAAAAAAAAAGTCAGGCTTACTGTTAAAAAGAGCAAGCTGACTTGAAAGCAGCTGTGCTGAGCCTTTCTCCTCAGCTTAGGTTTGTTTGGTATACCTTAGAGTATGACTACTTTGGCTAATAAAAATGTGGAAACATGCACTGTTCAGCTATTTATCCAGAGGACCACTGGCAGTAGGAGGAAATGCATCAGAGCACAACTGTGGTAGATCCCGTCAAGAAAAAGAAACAGAGAAAAATCAATTTCTCATGTAAACATGGCTTATTGCAGTAACACCACTCATAGTACCAGGAACTGGTCCTTGATTTAAGGCAGCTTGGTGGCTATTGTTTGACTCTTCTAGTTGCTTGTCACTTAACCTAGAACAACAAACACAACAGGTTCCAACCCATTACAGATATACCTAAAGGCAGGGCTACTTTACTTGGGAGGAAACCAATGTATGTGAAAGGCTGTCTGAGTTTAGGATAGCTGAAGCCCTACAAACTGGTGTGCAGCTCTGGCTCCTCCATTTAACTGGAGGCTAGGTGGGAAAAATCCTTAAACTAGCCAGGCTGCATGTGTGGCAAAGCCTAATCCTACAGCTTAAATTTCAGTAGTACTGCAGCACGGGTAAACTTTGGGTGGGGGCAGAATGCAAGAGTGATGAGTAGTTTTATTCACACCACTGAGGTTGAACGGAGCAAACCAGGACATACACATGCATATCCAAAACAAGAAGAGAGCAGGCTTGGTTTTTCCAGAGAAGGTGAGGGAAAAGGCAAAAGTAGGATGCAGGTGCTGTAAGCACTGGCCTGCCCAGCAAAGTGCATGTGCTGTCTCAGCTGGAGAATATTATGAATATTACACATGAACAGAGCACTCAGCTCCAGGGGAGGAGGCTGTTTAAGTGCAACGTTCAGCAGACCAATTCCCATGGATTTTTTCAGCTAAACTGTCAGTTCAAGGCTTGGGTTTTTGCTTTTGGTTGTGTTGTTGGGGTACTTCTGGCTGTTTTTTTCAGGGTTTATTTTTTTGGCTTTTTAGGATTTTATTTTAACCTTCCTGCTTTTCAAAGTGGGATTGCTGGGTGAGAGAAACACGTTTGCAAGTCAGGGCACCCACAAGGTGTGCGAAGATTCAAAAGTTGAGAAAAGAAGCCCTCTCCCCAAAGGAAAACACGAAACAAGTCGGCCTTCTCAAGAAGGTCAACGGTTTTCAAGGAAATACCACCCACCTTCCCCCTTCGCTCAGCTCTTCCCCTCGCAAGAGGGTGGAGGCTGCAGTCCAGGAGCACGAGCTAGACAGCACCCGGGGCATGACCTAGCAGGAGCGAGCAAGAAGCTTCCCTCCGCCCTCCGTCCGGGGGTGCAGTACCAAGCAGAAGGAAGACAAACGAAGGGCTGAGCAGTTCGTGGCCGGGGCGGGGTGGAGGGGGGCCCGAGGCTCTCACTCGCCCTCCTCTTTGATGCGTTGCTGTTTGTTGCGCCGGGCGTCCATGTCGAAGTTGAAGTCGTTCCAGTCGTCGCGGGGCGGGAAGGAGATGGTCTGGCGCAGCGTGAAGCGCACGGCGTCGATCACGCGCTCCCCGCGCGTCTCGCTCGAGCCCACGCTCACCGTGGAGGCGCCGCTGGGGGTGCGCAGCAGGTGGGGAGGGGAGAAGTCATGGAGCTGCCGGTGGTCCAGGATGCCCTTCCAGATGGCATGGCGGAACTGCTCCGGGATCTTGAGGCTCACCAGATCCTGCAAGGCAAGGTGCAGGGCTTAGAAGGGGAGCCCCGGGATAAGCTGGGATCCAGGAGCGAGCACAACCTCTAGGACACCAAGAGCGACCAAAGCTGCTAAAACCCAGGTGGCCACGATGCACAGCAGGAGACAAACCACTACTCCTGGAAGTAGTGGTTCACTCTGGATCAGGCATTGTGGGGTCACGAGGCAGCAATGGCCTGTTTTGAAGGCACAAACTCTATTCTTAAGTTGCACAAAACACTTGCTCATGCATAGAAGGTGATGACCTAAAGCTAGAAGCTTAACTGGACTGCAAGGCGTCCAAGGCAACCTCAGGAAGATCTGCTGGCTATCAGTGGTGAGGAGATGCTGAGCTGCTGAAGGTCAACGGCTTCGAAAATTTCCATGTTTATTTCAAAGCCTACAACAGGATTTTAGAATCCAAGCCTGAGCTCCAGTATTCAGAGCTCTGGGTGTGACTCTATAGGAACTGTCTTAATTATTTTAACATAATCAAATTTAATAACAGACACATGGCCTTAGAAAACTTGTACTTTGAGGCCCCGTAATTTCTGCTGCAAAATCTGAGGGTTGCATTACCTAAACTCTAGGATACATGGTATCAGCTTCTGAAAAAATTAGCAACAAACTTCAGTTAATTTGGGTCAGCTTTTCTAATTAGAGCAGCAGCAGAAGGAAGGCAGCCCATGCTAGGGAGCAAAAGCACCAGAGTCTCCCAAAGTCCTGGGGGGAAAAAAATGGGACAGCCAGCTCAGACGAGAGTAATGGCCCTGGAGAGAAAGCAGCAACTCTGCAGCAAAAGCCATGCAAGAATAAAAAAGAGAAAACAACAAACAGGGATGAGATGCCCCTGGCAAGGGAAGATGATTAAGGTAAGGGCAGAAAACAGAAGCAGGGAGGGAAAAATGCAGACCACTTCTGGAGAGCCTACTTGTCTGCAGGCGAGTGAGGTGTAAACTGAAACCGAGCCTTACAGAATTAACAGGCACGTGGGCTGGGGCCGCTCCGGGGGCTCACACAGAGCTGGGGAAGGGGAGACACTCTTTGTGCCAGGCAAGGCAGTTACAGCGCTGGCCCCAAGTCCAGCCTCTCTTCACCTCATAACATCTCCTCTCTATGTGCAACAGCCTTAAATCAAACTAATCATGTAAAAATAAAAGTATACTGAGTCTGGATTTCTGACCTGTTCCTAATGCAGGGCCAAGAGTGCAAACAAAGGAAATGGTGAGGAGTTACTTACATCCATGGAGTAATGCTCAATCTGATAGATGGTGGTCAGCCCCTGGGTCGTGAAATAATCCACACAGGATGAGCAGCCCAACCTCGCTAAGAAGCTGCAGAGGAGGAAGGAAGGAAGGAGAGAGAAAATAGGATCACCCTGGCTGCAACAGCCCAAACCACAGAAAACCCAAACACTCAGCCAATCTGCAGCAACAGGAAACAAAGCTTTCACCCTTGGCTTGACCTCCTCCAAGACATCCCAGGCCAGCAAGCCACATTGCTGCCACATCAAACAAACGAGGGAGTCCTTCAGCTCAGCATCCAGCAGACAGCCCTCATGGCAGCACCCTGCCTTAGTCAAGAGCTGGTGCTGCACAGCCTGGGTATGGAGGCAGGAGGGCTCACACAGACCCTCCTGCCAGGTCATGGCACCCAGAAGGTGGCTGAGCCCATGGCAGCCTGGTGCATGCACAGAGGGCTTCAGCAAGGCATGGGGTCTAGGGCTCAGACACATCAAGCACTGTCAATCAGCACATTCTTCCCTAAGTGTAAAGGGTTCCTCATTTATGGGCAGCATCTTTCAAGTGGTTTGACCTCACAAAGGGCAAAGGGGCTTCTGACCCCAGCCATGGCTTGTCAAGTGGCCAGAGGGGAAAAAAGAAAAACAAGAAGTGTTTGCAAGACAGCCTGGCACCCTCAAACTCCACCAGTCCAACAGATGCTGCATCCCTCAGCTTTCTTGCAGTCCTAACGTCCCTGTTTGTCTCACTGCTCAGAGGTGGGGATTGGAGGCTCGCTGCCCAGAAGGTGCCAGCCTCAGGACTGCCAAGGGCCCAGTGGGATCCAGTGCTCCAGGATCACGCAGGCTCCTGACCCAAGGGCTCTGCTCCCTTGGTGTGGGCAGTGTGCCGGGCCAGCCTGCTCCCGCTCACCTGACGATGCTGCAGTCTGAGGGGTATGGAGGAGGGGGGGTGCAGTGGGACGTTGAAGGCATGGAGAGGGGAGGAGGCAGCGCCTGCGTGGGGCTGAGGCCATTCATGTCACCGGTCATGGCCATGTGGGTGCCCATCATGGGAACTGGAGGAGAGAAGGAGGAGCACATTGTTACCCAGGCATGCCCAGACCCTGGCTTCACCCCCAGCACGGCACCCAAGCACAGCACCCACAGCTGAAGCAGCCTGAAATCCCCTGTAAAACCCTGCACAGGGAAAGCTCATGAGAAGTTTCAGGCAGGGCCAAGGGCCAGATTACAGACAGTCCTTCTGGAGCTCTCTCCTCACAGGAGAAAGTACCATGTCATGACATCTTCCCTCCCAGACAGGCTGGATAGAAACCCTGGCTTGCCCTGCCAAAGGAGAGGAGCAGGACAGAGCCAGCAGAGTAACCTAATACAGCAGCCAAACAGCTTTGTTTTCAGAGACAGCAGGAGCACCAGAAGGGGCTCAGCAACAGGTGTGGGCAAGAGTCCAGCTGTTTTGAAAGAAATTAAAAAACAAAACACCAACCAAAAAAGCCTCAACAAAACTCAGGCCCCAGAACCATGTCTGTCATCCTGGATTTACAGGGCTGCTGAGCACACAGCAGCAGCCAGGAGGAACAGAACTGCAAGATGTTTCCTTTGAAATTAAGAACTTTCTTAATTGAACCGAGGGGAAAAAATGTTGCCAACGTTTGCATCTCCTCTGCTGGGAAAGGAAGAAGAAGCAAGTCTCCAAAGCCAGAGGACAGTGCAGGCAGCTAGATCTGCAGCAAGCAGCAGCTCTGTTCACCCTGTGAGGCTCTGGGCAGGATGCTGAAGCCTTGCCCCGTGGCACACCAGTGAGCTATATTTATTTGGCTCTGTAGGTTTATGGCAAATGACTCCAGGCTCTCCAGCTTAACACTAGAAACACAGAGATGCCAAGTCTCCCTGTCCAGACTAGCAGGGAACACGCAGGGAACAGGAGAAGGAGGAATAAGAGATTCTTACTGTTGGTTCCCATGCTGTCGGGGATGGTGGTTGGGGTCAGGGCATTGCGCTGCTGGGGGTTGATGAGCTGGCTGACCGAGGGCAGCTTGTTCATGCTGTTCATTTTGCTGAGTGGTGGAGAGTTGGAGCCATAGGAGGACTGCGACTGCATGGAGGTCCTGCAAACCAAGGAGATGTTAGGACAGGGATCACAGCAGCTGGGTGTTCAGAGTGTGCACCCAAGGGGCTACATGGGCAGTGAAATCACTGACACCGTAGGAGCATCACAGATAAAAAAATCACTGGAGAATGAGTCAACAGGAAATGAGAGGTTTCCCAAATATTCTCAGTACTTTAAAAAAAATGAAGTACCAAAAAAAGGAAAGCTTAACTTTTAGTTGAAACTTTTATTTAAGAAGTGTCTATGCAAGTTTTTAAATTGAAAAGAATATACAGAAAGCCAGCAAACATCTGCCAAGATTTGAAGAGTACTTTTAAGTTAAGCTCTCCTTGTGGTCAAAGACTTTTTCATAGGAACAATAAAACCAGCTCAAACCATCCTAAATGTCCCTGAAACCTGACTGCAGAAACAGTTTTCAGATTGGGTCATGCTTATCACCTTATTTTTTCCAAAATTCCTAGTTACTCATATAATCAGGCCATTCTCAGGTGCCAAGGGCTCCTTGCTCAAGACAGATTCCATGCACTTTAGGGACCACTACTGAGATGGTCAGAGCCGCCTGGGATGCCGACAGGCAGTTTTTGCTGGTGTTAAGGCAAACCTGGTATCCAAACCCTTCAGGCTGCTTGCAGAGAGGATCAAGTTCCTGCTACCACCTGACAACAGCACTAGCCTCCCTCAAGCCCATCCAGCCCCAAACTCCATCCAGAATACGCATTGAGTGGGCCAGAGAGGCTTGCCAGAGCTCCCTGCTGCCCAGCCCCAGGGGTCCCAGCTGCAATCCTGCCATGTAAGTGATCCAGACTGCCAAGACTAGGCTGCTTCTGAACGGCAGCCCAGCTCCCAGATCGAGTTTCGGCTGTGGCATCCCATCTGGAGTGGGGTCTTATGTGGGATATGCAGAAAATGATCATTAAAGCCAGTCCAACAGCACAATTGGCACGGCGTCATCATGCCACAAGGGAGAAGGTTTTTCTCTCTGACACCAGGGGCATTTGTAGGATTGGGCAAAGGTTTGGAAAATGTGCCTGCTTCCCAGGCACAAGGACCCTCAAGCCATGGTCACCCTGCAGAGCTGAGGTTGCCCAGCTCACCACAGGGCCTGGCACTCATATCACACCGACTCCATGGTGAGTGTCCAAGGGCACATTCCCATCTTATTTCCCACTGGGAAACTTGTTCTCATCTGGGTATAACTGGTTGCACCAATTTGTGAGAACTGGCTTTTCTTCTATGCAAACAGAATAATTATTACTCCAAATAAGCAAAGTCTAAAAGGAAAGAAAAGGCTTATTCCTAGACAATTTATTAAAACCTTCAGCACTCAAGGTCAAGTTCCATACAATTACATTGTCTCCAGCTTCCTGCACTTTCAAGACTTGCAGTGTTGGGTGGAGAAAACATCTATGCTAACAGGCTAGAGTATCTAAGGCCCTGAAGAAATGTTACCTAATTACACAATTACAGGAGGTACAGAAGGGTGTGAACTGTCCTTTGGCAGTGAAGATGCAGGACAAGATCCAGCAAACTTCACAGACTCAAGGAAGTGGAAAGCACAAGAAGCTTCACAAATTAATATTAACAATGGCAGCAACTCCCAAGGGGAAGTGAAACCGAGCCATGAAGTTCAGAACCAACTTTTCAGAGTGAAGGGAATGATTCAGATCTGAAATTTCAATTCCCCAATTATGAAAGTTGAGGCCAGCCATGAAATTCAAGTCAAGCTGACACCGCCCTTAGCCTGAAAGGCTTCTGGATTTAGGACCAATGAGTATTTCTACTTCATGGGTTCAGGCACTTATCTCAGCTGAGCTTCAGCTGAAATTAATACACACCTGAAGAGTCTCTTAAAGCAAAATCTGCATGATGTGCAAGCGAGGACATCAATAAACACAGCAAAATTCCAAATCAAATCAACAAAGGCTTCCCAAAAGACACTGAGTTGCACTGTTTGAGGTCAGCAGTGGGCCTGTCTTTGCTCTCTCCACCACTAATACTGATCTCAGCAAAGCTAATTAGGAGACTACAAAATACTTTGGGGGTAAAAGAAAAACAAATCAAACACAAGCCAACTCAAAACTTTAGAAAACACTGTAGAAAACAAATGCATAGTTTAACATATAGCTTAGGGACTCCACTCTTATCTCATTCATACTCAGAGTCAATATTAATCAAGTTCAAGAGAATAAAACAGAAAACAAAAGCATTTTTCTTTGTACCCACACTAGTTTCAACTAAGCTATTCCAACATATGAGCAGATGTTTAAAAGGCCTACAGAAAGCCATCTAGCCAAACAGAAGTCACAAGATAAACCAAGATGCAAAAGTTTATTGAAAATTAATGTCACACATCAATATAGCAAGAGCCTTAGAAACACAAGAAAATGTTTTGGTATTAAGCACAAGTACTACATGGTATTTGAGGATCCATTTAAAATATATTATTTTTTTCCCCCCTCGATTTTTTAAAACAGCTATAAGAATGTCACGCACAGTGATTTTCATTAAAATTGTACTTAGTAAGTCTCAAGAAAGATTAGAAGTCAGAGCATTAACATTTCTTTGATATCAATGCCAATGAAATGCATTTTAATATCAAGGTATAAGGACTTCAATTAAGAGACTATTATACTTCTTGGAACAGTCTGATACAAAAGGCACTGAGTCACATTCTGCAACTGAGTTCTCTCTTCAAGAGGCTATGTAATTATTTAGCAAATAACATTTGTAGTTATGCAAGCTCATATGAGGGCAATCAGTCTCTCATGCTTCAAGGCATACACTGATCATCTCAAGAGGTCAGGAAGGAACTTCCTTGTCCTATACATGAACAAAGTTCAGGTCATAGTCTTGTATAACTCTACATTTTCCCAGCTCACTGGATACCATCCATCTCCAGAGGCAGCAAACTGCTGGGACAGACCAACTACCTGATGGAGCAGACCACAGTCCTTGTTCACTAAGAGAGCACACAGCCATGTAAGCAGCCTTAAATGACATCAAAGATTCATTAAGTGTAATTGGGCAACTCAGGCTCAGTTTGATTTCACCCAAGCCTCTGTGCCTACAGTTTGTTGTCCCTGCAGACCCAGTCAGTGCAGAGACACAAACAGAATCAGCTGTCCAGTTCTGTGTCTGCCCTCCCTTTCAGAAGCAACACCAAAGATCACATCCCAGGTTCACACAAGGCCAATGTGCTCATGGACAATGGCTTTTAAAACAAGGTTTCCCACAGGGCTGCATAACACTGGGGTGTCACTGCTGTAGTCTGGTAACAGTACACAAGTGGCACAGATGATGCTCAGTTTCATTCACCTGCTTTGAAGGCCCATGAAGCAGCAGGACACTAAAAAGCAGAGATGCCCTTGCTCCCCACATCCCAAACTGCTGCTATTCTAAAGCAAACAACAGCGCATCTTCTCAATCACTGCAGTGGTTTGGAGGCTTGGTACCTCACTGGGAGCATGGAAAGGAGGAACTCCAGTAGTTACTGGGCAGACAGGAACAGGGGTGGCAATAATGACTCCCCTTAGATTTCAGGTATGGGAATTTCTCAAGGCAGGCCACGGATGCAATCTGCTCTCCAGGAAATGGGGCTGTAATACAGGGAGTGGATATATATCAAGTAGTTGACACAGACTGATATAACCTGACTACCTGGTAAGGCCCAATTAGTCCACTTGGTTATTCCTTGAAAGGAAAAGGCTTACTTTCCTGAAGACACAGAGATGGCAAAGAAGCAATGAAAAGACAGCTGGGAAAAAGTTTTCATTTTATCGGCAGAGGACAGACTACAAAGCAACTCAAATTGCTTTCAGCTCCAGGTATTTGATAAAAGAAAAAAAAGAATAGCACCTTCTAATATAACCACCTGGTAGTTGGAAAGCAAATCAAATCACCATTAAGATCAGCATCACAATCGCCATCCTCTTATAGCCAAGTGGGACAAATCAGAAAGGCTTTCCAGAAAACAAAAGGATCCAGATAATTTACATTCTTGTTTAGTGGAAATCTGAGATGTTGTATTGCCCATTACAGTACAAGGCATTTCCTAGAGGCCACACCAAATGATGCACTGGAATCTTCCAGTGCAGGCTGTGGATGCCTTCTATCTTCTGGTGGGCTCCCTCCCCAAACTTGCTGGTGGGCAGGCTCAGGAGCAGTGCTCTAGATACAGATCAGTATTTCCTTGTCACAGTACTGCCATATTGCCATCCAAAAGCAGACAATGCAAAAATCCAGGAAATTTTCATTGGAAGAACAGAAAACAGTGCCAAACATAATTCTGCATCTGGGCTGCATTTACAGTTCATGGACACAATTAGCAAGACCCTCTGGCTGCAGGATTAATGGGCAAGATGGACATGGCCTGAGGCCACTTGACTGAATCAACTGCAACGTGAAATGGCCCTGCTTTCCTTCGAACTATGAGGCTTGGAGAGATGGGGCAAAAGAAAGTAGAACAGATGAAAATGCTAAGGCACCATCTAATAACTTCTGAACATCTGTAGGGAAAGAGGCAAGCTCCAACCCCTTTTCATAGGTAGGGCACAGAGTTTTAGACACTACCCTTCACACCCTGAGCTGGGCACACATGGATATCATTACAACTCTACTATACATTAAACTTGTGCTGTTCAGCCCACCACTTGGATCGAGCCCACAGAGTTGGAGGAACTCCCTAAGTTCAGTAAAGCTGGATCAATATCAGTAGTGCTGGTGCAAAGTTCAAGTCACACAGCCTTCCTTACAATTTTGATGTACTTTACATCAGATCCTTAAAGGTTGGAAGTCAGTGGAAACAACTCATGATGCCAAAGTCAAGGGCATTTCTACAGAAAAAAAAAAATTGATTTCTTAGCAGTGCCAGTTCATATAATTACCTCTCTCTGTCCAGCAGTACAAATACATCAGCTACTTATGCTATTAGTGCATGACCAGCACTAAAACAGACCAAATTGACTATCACAGACCATTTAAACATATCCTCTGCTTCTGTCCCCCCAGTCCATGAATACATTTAACTTAAACAGGACAAAAGGCATTTTAAAATTGAGACCTGCTCAGAGGAACCCTGCCAAGTTTCACAAATACAGAAGTAAGAAGAAAGAGTATCAACACATTACAAGAACAGGGAAAAAAAAAAAAGTTACACCAAGACAGACGACATCATGGTTCCCAACTTCACAATGCTATGGGCTACAGCTAAGAGGTCTGTAGAAGTGTCTGTTGTTTCTGCAAAGTTTGAGTCCCTTCAGAAGTTTACTCTCACTATTCACTCTGCTGCTATCAGGCTGTGTATTTGCCCCACTGTTCTTAGTCCTGCCAGCTGGGCAAAGTGACCCTGCCAGCTCGGTTTATGGATATACTGATGGGTTTGGGGGGCTGGAATGTTTTAGGATGGCATCGGTCTGTTTGGGAGGGTCTCTCCTTGAGTCCATGAGTTCACTCCTGAAGCAGGCCGAAAGGAGACTGTAAAGAAGGAACCAGAGAGAAGAAAAAGATGAATGTACAGGACCCTTTGCCAGCCACCAAGAGAGAAACAGCCACTTTCCACCTTCATGATCACAGTATGGGCTTTCAAAAAGGGAAAAAGCAGATGTCTTAGCACCTACAGTGAGGGTATGTAACAGGGAGATTTGGGAAGCTGGAAAGCCCCAGGCACAAGTGAGTGCTTGGCAAGGAAGGGAAAACAACCAGTTGGTAGGGAAATCCGATTCTGTCCTAGTCTCATGGGTACAAACAAAGCCCTGATAACGTTTCCAGTGACAAATAAAGGAGGAATACAAGCATTCAGCCAAATGGGAAAAAGAGCATCAGCTTCCATTAAGTCCACTTTTAACTACAATCACTTCAAAACCAGAAGCTGGTGCTAGAGATGGAGAACTGTGCCTATTTGCCATACTAATTAGAGCTCAACTATTCCCCTTGGAAAAGCTGAGGGGTCCCTGTGGCCACCAGCTGATGAAGGGGGCACCACATCCTCAGAGCTCACAAAGCACTTCTACTTGGCTCCTTTCATCTTGGCCATTCTGTAGTGAGGACACTATCCAAGTGCCTGGAGTTCACATGCAAGCACAGCACTACAAAACCAAACCAAATCATGCAAAAATCCACTGTTAGCTTTCACACCAAAAGCAAGATTAATGAAGTGAAGGTACAAAGAACACCTTCCCCACCAGCCCCCTTCCCACAACAGCAAGCACTGGGATCCTTGCAGCTCACAGCTCAGCTGGAGCACTCCAGGCATTGGATAGCTCAGTTCTGTTACAGCTCACTAATGAGGTTAATTCCTTCTCATTTGGATAATGAGTTCTGCTCACTAGACTGAAAGGCAGATAGTGGGCTCATAGCTGCAGCCCTGCTGATAGGAAAGTAGTGTTTGCTGGTGTACAAAATCCTACTTGGATGTAAGAGCCCTCTTCCTGGTAGCTACTGGAAGACTTTGTGAAAGCCCTTCAACCATAGGAGCTGGACTTCGTGTTCCTTATGCACGTTATGGGTCCCTTGCAACTTGAAATATCCTGATTCTCTGCTGCAGGAAACTAAAATACAGACAGTTCTGAAAAGAGTGCTCAGCAGAGTGAAACCCACAACATGAAAGTGTTTTCTAGTGAAAACCTTAAAGACTCTGCAGGTAGCTCCCTGGGAATATTGATGGTAAACATATTTCACAGCAGGGTAATGAGGAAACACTCCCTCCTCGAAGCATGAGCCACCTCTGATATCTCTCACAGCAGTAATCAGCTGGCAAATCTACAGTTTACACAAATGGTAGCAAACTATGAACTCTTCTAAATAAACCTGTGTGCTGCAGTTCAAGTATGGGCCTCAGGATTTGACAGTGAAAAACAAAGAACACAAAATGGAAGAAAAAAAACACCAACAGCTTCCCACCTATGATCATGAAGGTATTTGGCATAACAGTAAATAGAAGAAAACCATGCACAAAGGAGCAAGCAGAGAGAGGAGATGAGACAGAGAAATATTGTGGTCGGGCACAATGTGGAGCATTGCAGTATTTTGGTCATCTAGTGGGACACAAGAATTCTAACTGTCACCAGATTTGTCCTTTCTATTCCAGAACAGTCAGACAGCTGCATCTGCTGGCCTGTCAAATGCAGTGCTGGTCTGTAAGTGCATGAGAGTCATTATACACCTGTTTTCCAAAATTACTGATCTATATTTTTAAAACTATCTTTCACCATGACCAGCTCAACCTTGCTTTTCCTACTCTTCAAAAAAGATGAAGCTTTCCATGTTGTAGGAGTGACTGGGAAAACTCTTTCCACATACCTAGATACCTTTTCTAAGTTAACCACTGCCCTGAAAAGTAAACCGAAAAACCCAGCAGTTCTTCCACCAAGGTGCAACTCTGGAGCACATGTGGATGCTGCTCCATTTTGAGAAGGAAGAGCCAAAGGCAGCTTTCAGACTTTCCATTCCCACAGAGCCCTGCTGGGACCTACAGCTTCCAACATATTCCACCTTGCTCACAGCATACACACTTTCCCAGCTCCCACTTTTCACATGAGTGTTGAACTAAAGGTGAAATGGGACCATTTTAAAGTACATCCCTGTATACAGAGTGAGAGGCCAGAATAGATTCAAAAAGGAATCCCTGTGCTCCTGAGTTTGGCCAGTCTGACATCTCCCAGCAATTTGCTCACATGCAAGGCTGTTCTTGTCCAAACCATTCCCTACAAATCAGCTGCTCTCCCCATTCTAACATTTGAGACCCGAAGCTCCTTTTTTGGGGTGCAATTGCATCTTAGTCTTTTCAGTCTAAACATCTCCCTGCCCTGAACACATTCCTTCAGATATTAAGCCATACAATGGATTGAGGAAAAAGCACCAAAACCCAAAGTACACCTAAGAAACTGCTGCCTGCATATGCATTTCAGCACAGAGGACCCTGCTTGATGGCAAGCTGTCAGCAGAGACAACTGCAGCAGCTCTGGACAAACACTAAAAGTTATTCTACACTCCTGGCACCCTTAAAAGCTCTTAATCTTTCTCCCCTGTATCTGAGCACACTCAGCAAATGAGAAAAATGAGTATATAACTGGACAAGTGCCAGGAGACATGCCAAAAGAAGTTTCATTAAATTAAATGGCTGGAATTCTACATGCTCGTCTTAAAGGTAACACAAGTATCTAACCTCATTTCCCAGGAACACATCCTACTGATATTGAAAGAAGGAAAAAAGCAATTATAGCAAAGCCAACTGTCAGCACCAAGAGAAAGCTGTCATCTGCTGCTGTCCATTTCTGCTTACAAAACCATTTCTCAGCTGAAATGCTGTGGTTCAGGTGAAGCTTTGAAGATGAGCAGTAGAGCACACAAAGGCCACAATGCCTAGGAGCTAGTAAACACAAGCTATAGTATATACAAACAGTGCAGATGACTGATAAAAGTAAATAATCATAATGAGATTTTGAAGTGCCCCAAGAAAGAGTCCAGAGCCCCTGGATGCTCCAGACGTTTTGGCAGAAGGCTTTTTTCACACCTCCACAAGACTCCATCTGACACTAAAAACACACAGGTTGAAATATGAACACATGCAGAGATTTGGCAGAAAGCTGTGGTATTGCAGAAGTCCTGAGACAAGGCCAAGGCATTGAAATAAATCCCTACAGGCTCAAGTAGGACTTATGTGGTGCCTTGGCCCCATGCTAACCTCTGCAGAGGAATGAGTTATACCCACAGCCTCCTGACTGAGAGCTTCTCAGCAGGAACTCGGGATCTGAAGCACTACCACTTGGCAGCCACCTACAGCCCGGGGCTATTTTCTGTCCCCCGAGACAGCAGGTGAAGCAATGCCCATGAACGACACTGCTTACAGCCCATCTGGGAAGTCATTCTCTGCCCAAACCTCTGACTGCAAAGCTTTGGGAACCCAGACACCTATTCAGCCTGTCAGCTGAGTTCAGAAAGGATGGGAAATTTCCCATGAGCAATATGAAGAGTCATCTAGCAAAGTGCAGTTTTTGACAATACTTTGAAAGTGTATATAGAATCTTCCTTTGAAGTGTCCGCTAGCCAAAAAAGCAAACTTTTTGTGTTTCAACTTTGCTCTCGACTTCCAGCTGCTTGGTTTTATAGCAGTGCAACTTGAAGTATTGTTATACCACTGAGACACCAGCCCTGCAATGCATGAGAGATGCACTGCAGTGGGGCCCAAGCACTTGGCTGAGCTCATGCTCACAGCCCCAGCTCTACATATTCTTAGAAAGATGGTCAAATAGATACCCTGGAAAAGGCACTGGAGATGGTTCCATGTCTGGTGCCATTCCCATGGAGCAGTGGGAGAGGAGTGCACCCAGCCTGTGCTCCCCAGCTCCAGGGGGAGCAGGTTTCTGACCACAGGCTGTCTATGGCTCTGCCTCACTGTGCTGTGCCTTGGGCTCTGGCTGGAAGCCAGAAATGAGGCACTGACCCTATCCTCATGCACTCTAAGGCCAAGAGCTGGAATACGTTGAGATGAAAGTCTAGAGTCAGGATGTGCACCTGGGGAAGGAGGATTGCTCTGTCCCATTGCTCAGCCCTCAGTTGAGCCCTCTGTCCCTGTGCAGAAACCTTCTGTGTCTCTCTCCTCTCTCCCCCACTGCACTGACACTGCAAGCACACAGGTACTCACTGCTTCTGGAGCAAGTGCTGGTGCTGCTGCTGCTGCTGCTGCCGGTAGGTCTCAATCGTGTGCTGGGGGAGGTACTGCATCAGCTCCAGAGACTCCTTGATCTTCAGGAGCATCTCATACGTCTCCCGTCCCCTCACCTGCATCACAAGAAAAGGAAAGGGGGTTGGAGGGAAAGAAAAGCTTTAAAGGACTGCATTTATAGACGTTATTGATAGTCACCTTAGGAAGATTTAAATAATGTCAGGTAAACAACCAGAGTAGGATGCAAATACACTGTTTATACATGATGCTCACACAATAAAACTGCTAAGCCTTGTTCTAGAGGTGCAGCAAGTAATGCTGAAGAATGACAGCCTCACACTGCAGGCTGATGAACATCTTGGGGTTGTCATATGGCTCAGTGTGAATCTATGCCAGCCAAAAGCAACATTTTGATCCAATCTATTTAGACAGAAAATGTCCTTACTTGCCTCAGATATAAGCAGATCTGGTGCTGAATCTTACATGCCCTCAGAAAAGACAGCATGGAAATTTGGGAGCTGGGTTTGGCTCTCCCTTCTCCTCCAAGCACACCATGATATGTGATTTATTCAACTAACCATGCCTCATGGGAAAGAGCTAAATGGCCAATTAGAGATATTTCTTGCCCTTTCCGAGTCTACACTTAATATAGCATATTTCATTTCTATCACAGCATTATAATTGCAATACACATAAAAGACACAGAAGCATCCACCTATCAGTAAGACAACACCAGTTTTCTAGAGAAAGGTCATGTGCCACAGACCCAGAAAAGACAGAAGAAGAAACTAAGTTAGATGTCAAAGACAGCATTCCAACCAGGACAGAGATCCCTTGGAATATTCTCATATGCCTTGCCTAAGCCATTCTTTGCACCTAGTGGGATTTTTATTTGTATTTTTAAATTTGGAATATGCATTTAAAATTAGTAGCTCATGGGATGAAAAAAAAAATAAATTATCATTTCACACCCCAACCTCATCCTCAGCTCTCTCTGAAGTCTAGGTGAGCCTCGAGTCACCATTGAAGATATTAAACATAGGGTAAATAAAAAGATAGAACTCACTGGCAAATACAAGAGCTCATCATCTGGGGAACGTCTTTTTTTGATAGATGTCATCTGTATGCCATGAGTTCCTTGTCGAAAAGCTGGAAAAGAAACCCAAAGGCATCCCGTTTAAAAAAAAAAAAAAAAAAAAAGGGAGGGAGGGGAGAAGCATACAGAGAAGGAAAAGGCAAAAAGAGAGATACAAAAGAGAAATGAAGTGTACATGACCAGCTCAGATCTATAGTGATCTGAAGGGATCTCTAACTGAGCCACTCCAGAACTGTCCTTGCAGCTCCTGGCTCCTTAAGGCAGACACCTGCAGATGCTGGCTGGCCATGTCACCTGGGGAAACATCAGCCAAGGAGCACTGGATATGTGACAAAACCCTGGCAAGCCACACTTAGAACGAGCACTGGCTCTTTACAGGAAAGTTACAGAAAGTTTTGGTATTACAGGGCTCACAAGCTGTTGGTGAATCAGTGATCCATGAAGGCGAGACCATTGGCAGGGAGCAGAAGTCACTGAGAAAACAAAGCCCCTCTGCAGTCTGCCTCCCGTCATAACCTGTGCCCTGCTGTTGAGCCTGCTGCCTTCACTGAGTACAGGGGAAATCAAAGGTGGATTTCCATATCCTGCATGTCCAGTGAGAACTTGGCTCTCTTCAGAGCACAGAGAGGCTGCTTGCCAGGGTTTGTGTGCAGCCTCAGTCTAGATTCCCTGTGGCTGGAAGACTCCTTCCACAGCATAGAACACTGGCTAGATGAAGCGAAGAGTAACAGCGTGACCCCAAATAAGCAGTAAAGGTTAGAATTCCAGACATACAATTGGAAGGCGGCAAATAAACACCCCTTTCACCCACCACTGGCAGGACTAATCTAACACCAGGAATGCTGCAAGGGAGTCCACAAACCCAGACTGTCCAACATTGCTTTGTGAACACCAGCTCGATTTTTAGGCTGATTCACCTCAGGAGAACAGATTACTAACACCTTCCTGCCTCCAAGCCCAGGCACAGCAGCACTCTGTCCCTGTGGCACAAGCACCCAGAGACAGCCCCATGTGCCATCTGCCCAGCTCTGCCAGCTACTTACGGCGCTTCGTACCATCACCATTCTTTGTGCTGTCAGACACTTGCTGCTTGCGGATGCTGTCCTCGTCTGCCTTGCGGTCTCTGCCTGGGCAAGCACAAATACGGGCTTCGAAACAACGGCGGCCCAAGACTTGCCCACTGGGAAGAGAGGTGAGGACAAACATCAGTTGGCATCTTGGATACAGGCCAGCAGCTCCCCTCAACTTCACACCACACTGTACACCTTCCATTTTCCAGTCCGGATTCCCCAGGTGCTAGGCAACTCCCACCTGCAAAGAGCTAAAAAATATCCTACAGCCCCTTGAATTAAGCTGTTCCTAAGGATATGGGACGCTGCCCTAAGGGAAGAGGAGGCAGAAGGGTTACAGTCGTGATGCACAACTTACTCTCTGGTTTCCAGGGTCACAATGATAAGGATCGGGCGGCGGTTCATCCCCCCAACGCAGCTGCTGTTGCACATGAAGTTGTACAGGACTGTAGTGAACTCGGTACCGACCTGGGTGAGACAAAGGCCATGAGCAGAAGAAGTGGTGGATGGAAAGCTCTGCTTTTTCTATGCTCTCCTCTTGTATTTCCCAAGCTGGGCTGCAATTTGGCCAGCATGAAATAGTCCCCCACTACAAAGTTTCCTTAAAAGAAATGAAGATGCCCTGCTCTCAAGGGAGGGTGTTTCACAGCTCACTTCTGATAGAAAGGAAGAAGGGATTCATTGTGATGAGGATAGGGAAAGCCCAAGATCCAAACTCCTTTGACCAGGGTTACAACCCCCACCCCTTGCCTGCCAGGATGTCACCAGCTCGAGCTCACAACATACCTGGGGTGGCTCGTAGGGGACCAGCACACTCTGCCTCCCAGTGATGGGGTCTTCTACATACTGGGCATGGCTGTTCCCTTCCACTCTGATCAGGTGGCTGGGTGGTGCAATCTGTCCTGCAAGGGCAAAGAGGGAAAAAACAAGAGACTGTTCAGTGCAGTAAGGTCATGCACAGGGTGGCAAGATCTGCCATCAAGGGAGATGCATGTGGCCCCTGCACTGAGCTCCATCAGAGTACACACAGCTACCTCCCAGCCCTTGAAGCATCCCTTCCCAAGATCCCTGCTGCCAGACACCAAAAGTAACACAGCCTTTCTAAAGCTCACTCTGAACACCTGTGGCTAAACCTGAACAAGGGTTTCCCAAGATCCCAGACTAAGTGAGCCCAAATTTGACCTGAATGGCAGCTCACAGCAGTTCTTCCAGCAGATAACTCCTGCTGGATTTTCACACCAGCTGAAAGGCTTTATTTTCCTCCCTCTAATGCATATACAAAACAAATTCCTTCTAGTCTCAATTCCTATTCTTCTTACTATCAATTGCTAGCCCTCTTCTGCTCCCTTCCATGAGTCTTGATCCTTAAAAAAATAATTCAAGGAGTAAGACAAATATGCATTTAATTAATGGTCAGTTGGAAAAATCATGCTAGCTTACAGCAGTGGCAAAGGGAACATGATGTTGTTTCCTAGGCCACTTTCCAATAATTAAAAGCTTCCTTCCTACAAATTTTCTTTAGTGTTTCTACAACATATAACTAAATTCTGAGGAGAGCAACCTGCTATGGGTTTTGTTTTGTGTATTAAGTGTTCATTCTTACTCAAAATTTCTACAGAAATAATTATTTCAGAATGAGAATTTAAGGCTTTTTTTCCCCTTTCTTAGAACTCCATCATTGAATGGTGTCAAACCTCAATAAATCCAGTCCTGTCAGAAAAAGCACTTTTTAATATTAAAAACTGTTTTGAAGAACTGTCTCACTCCACACTGATTTTACACTCCCAAGTCCTTGCTTATTTCTGGGGCTTGTCTAGCTGGCTGCACTGTAACTAGCAATGGGATCCAGGCTCCTAAGACATCCTGCTAACTGATACCAGCCAGGTTTTTTTACAGTAGGAGATAAATAACGTACGTAGAATAAAACAGATGCTCATCTGAACTTACGTGAACTTAAGTGGCCAAGGCAAAACGGAACCCAGCCCATGAGCTTGCAGAAAACCAAAGGACATTGTAAGAACAGCTGCTACCTCACTAACATGAGGAGAAGTAAAAGATGAAAACATTAATACTGAACTGAGAGTGTTAGATGTAGAAGAATGTTGCCTACAGTTGATGCTGGCACTGAGCACTACCCTGCTGGAGATAAACAGCTCCTCCATCTTTGAGGCGTGGATTAAGGACTGGAGATGATATTGCATCCTGTTACTAGATCCCTGTCCCAGCGACATGGAAGCTCATTCCTGAGCACAAGAACAGCTGCTTCTTGTTGCAAGAGCAAAAGCAGAGCAGAGAAAGGCTGCCAGAAGGGCAGTGCCTGCCATGGGGACAGACATCCATCTGACCTGGGCAGGCATGAGGTTTATTTCAGTGCTTTCCTCCCAAGGACGAGCTCGCACAGGGACAGCTAAAGCACTGCATGATCCTTCCTGCCAAGGATGAGAAATAAAAAGCTGCCCATGGTGTCACAGGGAGGTCTGTTTCCAGAAGGTTTGCTCTGAAGCTGCTGTCACATCCCTCAGTGGCCGCTCATCAGCCCTGGAGAGGGACTGCCAGCACAGCACTGCCCTCCTTACCCTCGTTGAACTCCCGGCTCAGCTCGTGGTTCGGGCAGCGTTTGACCACTTCAGTGACGTGTTCAGCTTTCTTGTAGACTGGCATAGCCCTGATGACAGCTCCCTGAGGTGGAGGGGTCATCACTTTGATCTGGATGGGACATGTCTTGGCGATCTGGCAGTACAGCTTTTTCAGTTCGGTGGAATACTGAATGGGAAATAGACCAAAAGAAAGTCAGAAGTTCAACCAGGGATGAAGGTACACCAGGAACATGGAGATGGCTTTGCACATGTACCTGAAAGCACCAGCCACTGCACAGGCACTGCATTTGTTTGCCCAACAGCTATGCTTCCAGAAAAGTGACAGAACCCCTAGACCTTTACCTGCTGTAAAATAGCAGAACATAAATCTACATACTAGCTTTCCCAAAGGCAAAAATCTTCATATAAAGAGCACTTTATTTACTCAAACAAATAAAGCCTTTATGTCTCTTCGGCACACACTCCCTCTTGCAAGGGACACCCATTACCCACCTAACAAACAGATGGTATTCCTTTCACAGCATCCTGTAATCCTGGAAGCACTCAAAACCACAGACAAAGGCATTTCATCCTGTATTCTAGGAAGCCCTCCTACTCTTGCAGAGGGATTAAATAAAAACATGAACCTTGGTACTGAACAGTACTTGAAAACAAGACCCTGATCAATTTGGGAGTTATACAATACCTGACATTTCAGTCACCTTTTTAAAACCATCTCCTACATCCTACTGAACATTGCTCTAGTAATCCCCTCACTTCTGAACTCCAAGCATTACATGCAAAAATGAGGTAAAAAAGTACATTTTTTTCAAGGGCCAGAAGAGCTGAACAGCCCGAAGACCAGCCCATGGTGACCATAACTTAGAGCATAATCCAGCAGCTGGCTCCAAAAGAGAGGCTGTCACCATGCAATGAGCACTTGGAACAGAACAAGATGCTCTTTTTCACTATGCTAATTTGGAGCAGATTAGACTTCTCTTAAGATGCTCCCCACTAAAACAGTAACCTAATGCAGCATTTTTGTGGAGTGTATTCACATCTGGAAACCTTTACTCAGCAAAACATCAAGGCTGAAGTTGGTGGTTTCTTTTCAAAGCCCCTCACCATAATAATCTGCTTAGCAGGGAAGATGGCAAGGGAATTCTCAAGTGGTTCAGTACTGTACAACTTAAACTCATTTTCCTGGATATCTCGCATGAAGGAGACTCTCCAGTCCCCCCAGCTATACAAGGCCCTTCCAAAATATGGCAGGTTTTTCAGAACCCTACTCCAGAGGCATTCATTTTTCTCCTGCTATTCAGACATTCACGAGTGCAGAGCTCTCCCTGTAACTCTAACAATGTAACCCACAGGAATTCCTGGCATTTCCCCATCTCCCTGTACTCTGTTCTTGCAGACAAAGAAAAGTGAAAGCCCCAAGGTGGTTGTTTCCTCACAAGAAAAGGTCTCTAGCAGCCACGAGCCAATAGAGTCCCATTCCCAGCTGTTCAAACAAAGAGGGACAGGTTCATACTGGTCAAGGGCACCCTGTGGCCATGGACCCTACTGGTACAGGGAGAGCCAGCATGTGCACAGGAGGGTGGCAGATGATGCAGCAGCAAAAGGATTAGTTAGTGATAGTCAGGGATTATTTGTACTTCAGAGTGTACACACTGCTAACATCGGAAAAACCAAACTTTCAAGAGATACTGGGTAGGAGAGAGGGATTAAACATAAGCCAAGCCAGTCCCTTCCCTCCTCACTCAACGCCATCCTGCCATGTGGCAGAGAAGATGCTACAGGTATTAAAGATACAAAAAAAGACTTCTTTAAAATGCAAAGGCCAAATTGTGCAATGCATTTTATGTGCCTGCAGGCTAGAGATTAAACCCACAAAGGATTTACCCAGCCTGCGGAAACAGGGAACACGCCAAACAATTACAAAAAAAAATGTTGCGAAACAGATCTAGATGGTGATTTATATCATACATCTTTTAAATGTGAAATTCCTTATTGTTTTTTAATTAAAAAGCAATTCCTTAGTAAAGGTAAGAATGAGCTCACCATGTTGTCTTTTCATCTCAGAGGTAGAAAAAGAATTACTTATATTTAAAAAGGAAGGAACCTAAAAGCATTGTTTCCTTCAACACATCAGATTGCTCATAGCACTGTGAAGGTTTCAAGGACAGAAAGCCTCAAAAATCTCAAAAAGCCAACTAATCACTTGGATGCCTTAACATCACTGAAGCATAAAGAAATCGGGCACCCAAAGGTGATGGGCAGAAATGCAAGCATAAATATTGAAGAGCAGTGGTGCACAGAGGGCACAGCACATGCCAGGAGGCAATGTGTCCAGTGTCTGCTGGCATCCAGGGAATTGAACAAATGGAGGGAGATACCCTCAGTCACTGATCAGGACTCATGCTGACTGTAGTTTTATGTATATCATCCTAAAAGACAGCAAGCTGGGGTTACAAGAAAGGGGAAAACCAAATATCTCTGCTTTCAGAAGGACTGAGATGTATCCAAACCAGCACAGCTACTGAGGCTCATGATCAAACAGCACAGCCCCTCTGTGAGCAGACAAAGGGATCTGCTCTTCATCCACCTTTGGCACCCAACTGTTGGACCCCTTTGGCTACAACCAGCAAGGAAGCTATCGGACCCACACCCTAAATTCACAGAGAGCAAACAGCCAAGAGCTAATGGGTTATGATGAACAAAGAAACACTGGACAGGCTCAAGAGCTGCAGGTTCCAGCCAACAGCTTGAACTTGGCATGTCAGGAAAGGAGGGAAACCAGGAGCCCACCTTTGCCTCAGAGCACAGTCAGGACACGGGAAGATTAAAGGGCAGTGCTCAGAAGAGTCAAAGAGGCAACAGGGGGCTGAGCTGCCTTTTTATCACCTGATTGCAAGAGTTCAAGCCTCAGGCACTGCACAGGGCTTGGGGACATGGCATGGAGCCATGATTTCACATCTACCCCAGGCACAGCCGCCTGCGAGCGTGTAATCACTGAAGGGACAGTCATTTAACACCAGTGTAAATCTGTCCACGGGGTACCTGCTGTCAGACAGAGAGGGGCTCGAGTTTCCCACCCCGCCAACTCTGCTGCGACCAGGAGTAACCTGATGCACAGCCATTTACTGGCATAAATAGATGCCAACAACTAGGTCATGGTGACTTCGTCCTGGATCAGTGATAATCGCTATATCCACAGAGCAAGACAGGATATTGTATATAGATTTCAAAGCAAAGGCACTTCAGAAAGAAAACCCGAGGCAGGAGCTGTCTGTGCTCTCAGATAGTGCCTGCAAGCCAGGATCACCCTCTTGGCACAGGTGCTGCTCCTCAGTGGTCCCAGACCACCCCACCCTGGAGGAGGTGACAGTCCCCTTGCTCACCATTTTACTGTGAACTGACACTCAGTGTATGAGGGGTAAGATCGCAATTCCCAGAAATCCAAAGCATGACCATTAATCAACACATTTGAGCAGGAAAACTAAATTAATTAGGAGTACAAACATAAAAATGAGTTTGACCAAACAAGTCTATCAGTTAACAAGTTGACAACAACCACTATCTAGCAGTAGGAACAAAGGTTGTGCCAACAGCCTGAGGAGTGCAACACCACTTCCACCAAAGTACAGACCTGAAAGCCATTTAGAACAAGAGCTGAGCCTGGAGATGTTATCTGCTCAAGAGGGAGAGGAAAGAGCTTTGGCTTGGGACTTTTCTTTGGACTTTCACTGCTGTCTGTCATGAATTTAGCTTTTTGCTTAATAATACATTTAAAAAGGAAAGATAAAAACACTCCAGTGCCTGCAGCTCTGCTCTCCCCACCTGCCCGTGCAGACATACTGTATTACCCACTCTTGGCACCCTGGCTGGTAATTCAGTATCACAATACACACACCAGCTACCATCAGGCAACACCTGTCTGATTTCTCAGTAAGCCCCTTCTACTGAAGGTGTGTCAACAAAGGGTTGAAAGGCAAAAACAAAACACTTCTTGACTCTCAAATGGAGAATTTTTGCTAGAAAGGACTGTAGTCTCCTGAAAATAAGTGCTCAATGCAATACAAGCAACAATGGCTTTTTACCAAGTATTCAATTCCTCTGCAAAACTCTGATGCAGTGAAATCCCCCAAATACTACTTTAGAAATCTGCCTCTAATATCTGTTTTACCATCTGATCCAGCAGAGGGATTATGGCTCCTAAATCTTTAAAAGGAGTGAGGTTCAGTCAGCTCTACAAATGCTGACGGATGTCAGCTTGAAGGTGATCCCAGAGGTTGGCTTAAAGCATTACAGCTCCCTGAGCCCCCTCCTGCTCAGATCAACAGGTCTTTCAAATCTTTTGCAAGCTTCTTTCAAGTAGCCATGTTTTAGTTCAACTCAGTTAACTAGATCCATTTTACCTGATGTTTTCAAAGCTGTCAATCAGCTATGCTTTCTCCTCTACCAAACTAACTCCCAAAGAAGGGGAAAAAACAGGTTAGAAGAGTGCAAATGCAATAGCTACTTCCACCAAAGTATTCACAGGTGAAAACAAGGAGAGTCACAAAGAAATAGATAATAATTCTAATAGGTTTTAATTATTTAATAGAATAAAAGGCAGTGGGAAGAAAGAAAACTACCAACTAAGAACAAAAAGTGAATTTACACAAGCATTTGAAACACCTTTGCTATGCTAGACCACGATTTAACTTTTCATTTAAAAAAAACCTGCTGAGAAGATGTGGGGACACATCAGAAGCACATGCAGACACACTCTTAGAAACCAATTTATACCCCCAGGACACTCAGTGAGCAGGAGCTGTACCAGGAGTGCTGCACACATGGACCTCTCCTTCCAGATTTAACCTTCAGCTCAGCATAGCCTTAACCCCACGGCTTGTGAGATGACTTGTGGCAGCTTCAGTTTCAAGTCCTCTGTCCCACCAGGCTCCAGAGAAAAGTGGACAGCTTGCTGCTAATGGGCATAGCTGGCATTCAAACCATGGGCACTGCCAACACGTCCAGTGACACAGATCCACCAGGTGTGGCAACAAGCCTCAGCCTCACAGCCCGGGGCACCAGAGAGACAGACACGCCTGTGGGCATCCCCATCTGCAAGGGAAGCCGTCCGGGATGCCCCGAGCATGGGAGCGGGAGGGGATGCTGATGTAGCCCCACCAGTGCTTT